GGGAGGCTGTGGGATATGAAATCATTTTAATAGTTGTAACTGAAAACATTGGATGGGATGATCTGCTGCGGGTCTAGGTTACTTAAGATCTTCGTCGTGTTGGTTCAATCGCAAAAAAATAGTGGTTTCACTGCACGAGCCCTGTTTAAGACCTGAAGCAATGCAGTATTTCTGCACGACAAGAGATTTTATATTTTATATATTTTTAACCTACACGCGAATGGATGTCTAATGCACCCTGCTTCGTCTTAAACATCATTTCAGTTGTTGCTTAAATTTATGTAAATTTAGGAACTGTCTAAAAGCGGCGCTCTTAATAGGTAAAGGGAGCCCAATTTAGATAAAACTAAAGATGAAAATAAAATCGGGGAAAAAATCTTCATTTTTTCTTCTTCTTCGAGATGAAGATAATGTTTACCATAATGAAAACCATTAAGTGAAAAATGAAATAGAATTACTATAATAATAAAATGATAATATTATTTAGCATAAACCTAGTAGCATACTCTCACGAATCCTGCAATCTGATTGGCTAACGTACTCACTATCTATCCTGTCTAGCCGTTTTGCCGATATATGTTGAAGAGCACTTATTTGGTTCTGGACATGTAGCTTTATATATGAGATGGTGCTTGTGATCTACAAGGCGTGGCTTGTCTTAACAGGGAATTTTGCACCTAATTTTTTAGCGTTGTATACACAGTTAATGTGAACGTTTTGTGGAACATGTTTAGTTACAAGATCTTTAAGTCGTTTTATCAGATTAGTTCCATTTTCGCCTGCAAAGTGCAGTGTTAAATACAAGACTTTCTCCTTCTCTGTGTCATGTAAATATGTAGCTTTCAACTCGACAAGACCAACTTTAATGTATTATTAAAAGGATCGAACGGCAAGAAAAAAAGTAAGAAAACTGGTTAGGAAGGTTAGGTAAGGTATGGTTTCTCCATAGTTAAAAGTAATATAATTGAGCCTAAAAGAAGATTTTTTGGAATGTATTACTATATAGTATACAGCTACGCCGTCGGCAGTATTTTGGCTTCAATCGCGTTGGCTAGTAGAGCCTAAAGGAAAATACGGCTTTCAGTCTTTTTAGTTAATAAGATATATACATGAATATGTCGTTAAATATTACTCTGTAATGAAGCTGGTAACTTTGGTTGTAAAATATTTTTCTTTGGTAGTTTGGCTATTAAAAAACACTTTATTTTCAAGAACATAATCCGATAATGGAGAGATGATCGAGAACTTCAGAAAGTTAGCGAAAAACAAATAACCATTTAAACACATTTCTAAACGAATTTATGCCGCTTATTTGGCCATGTACAGTTCCTGAAATAAATATATTTATTTCGTCAGACAGGGCGAGTCTTAGTAGGTCAAGATTGAGAGTAGATGGAGAGTAGTCACGTCAGTAAAGCAACGAGCTGTCAATCTCCGTCAACAAAACCGCATCTGTATAGTTCTGCATGAATCCTTTTACTAATCGAGTCTCATGCCACTTCACTGGTTTGGATGTTATAAACACTTCAAATGGATAAGAAGGATAAAAAAGATATTTTAAAGTTTTAAGGAACTAATATGGTCGGGCATTCCTAATAATCATTCAGTTTTGCACAGTTAATTCAAGAATATAATCAATAATGGAGAGATCGAGAATTTCAGAAAGTAACCTCCCCCCCCCCAATAGAGGTACATAATAAAGATGAAGGGCTTATATTAAGCACAGAGTGGCGCTTACAAAATTAAGAATTAGTAACCATAAGCTTGAAGTAGAAACGGGGAGGTATAAGAGGCCTTATCTCATTTACGATGAAAGGATTTGCCCAGTGTGTAAGTCGGGAGTAGAAAACGAAAAACACTTTCTAGTTTGGTGTCCACTATATAACTCTCATAGAAACGACTTAAGAGAGTTCATAGAAAAAAACACCAGCATTAATTTCAACAATATGAGCGCTGACAGTCGTTTTATGTTCTTAATCAATTCAAAATCAGCGTCTCTACAAAGAGCCATATCAGCATACATTCATCAATGTATGCTGATACGTGAAAATGAATTAAGAAAATTACCTAATACATAGTATATATATATACCTATAATATATTTGGAATCAAACACTCATGTACTATTAGTATAAGGTGCCAAATAAAATTGTATTGTATTGTATTGTATTGTATTGAAGGGCTTATATAAGCTCCATCATACCCGCACATAAAGCAACCCAGTGCACGCTCCAAAAGCGTCTTGTCTATTTATGTTTAGTTTGAAGGTAATGACTCGAGTCAATGAGGAAAACGCATACTTGTTATTCTCTTTAACTGTTAAAATATTCTAATTTTGTTATACAATGGTGATATAATAGTTTGAGCCCCGTGACCAATGATCTAATAAAGATACACGATACAAGTAAATATCGCATCTTATGTCAATCACCGCTACGCTATCATGCACCGTAATTTCAATCCCCAATAAGATTACGCTAGCATGCAAGATTACAAACAAAAAAGCAGTAAACAAGGTCTGGTCTTCCTTTACTTAATATGACGTCTGAATTTAAGAACCTGAAAAGAGAAGAAAAGAAGAGATTCAGACTTTCATTCACTGTGTATTTTGTAAATTAAATAGACGATAGAATACCTGTTGTAAGCCATGGATGGGAGCTGGTGGGCTTGTTACAGGGGGAAGGGCTTATTAAGAGGAGGACAAAAACGTCTGGAATGCTTTGGAATGGAATTTGGTTTACTAAATATGTACTAGTCTGACATTTCATCACGGGTTAAGTGACTTCACTCTACGATTACTGTACATTTAGTTCTGAGTTTTACTGGTCTTATGAGAATACAAAGACGAATTTTCTTAGAACCTAGTTTTTAGCATGCTCGAAAACTGATTTTTTTYTGCTTGCTTGTAAGACAAGACTTTAATTCCACTTGGAAAACCCCTGCCACGGAAACTGGTTCATTATTCAATATGAACTGAATGCGTAAATGTTTTATCCATGGACATGTCCTTAACACAGTACGCTGGGACTTGTATCTAGGTCTTTCTTGACCATAAGAAGGTTATGATATGAGATGAAGTAGAAGCCCTGTAATGATTTTTTTTCGCATTATCAAATTCCCTTTTTCCTAAAAAGGGTAAAAAAGAGAGTAACAAAGACAGTAAAGCATCATTACCTCATCTCTTGATGTCTTTATCTTAGTAAATGTTGGTGTTTCTCCTCTCTGGTACACATATCCAATCACCCTGAAGTAGTACATGGTGTCTGGCTCAAGGTTATCAATCACACAAGAAGAACCATAGCAGGCTTTTTTCATATTCAACTCGTTTTTCAGAGTTCCGTAATCCACTTGCACTTTATTGGATGGAAACGAGTGCACTGGTTTCACGAACTTTAAAAGTACCTCTGTCATACTCATGGCCTTAGCTTGCACTTTGATAGGAAGCGAAGGAACTGTAGAAAACAAACTCGAAGTATTTGAAAGTATTTTTGTATTACATTAATCACTTAAAGACAGGCTCCGAGGAGAACCAGCGAGAAAATAAACTGACTCCGAACCAAGCATGCTACCCACGTGTCAAACGATCACGTTTTAGCATTTACAAATAAAAAAATATAAAATACGTTTATTTGAGTTACCATTCCTTTGATCAGGTGATCAATGCATCCAATAGAAACAAGGGAATTTAACTAAGGGCAATGGTGATATGTGATTAGACTACGATTTGAGTTTGATCTGATCTTATTTTCTAAGTCAGTTTTATTCATTTCATATTTCTATAGCGCAGCTTTAAAGACAATTCTACTTACTCTTCGCTATTTTGCATTGTTTTCGTCCCCAGTCACGATACTCTCCTTTACTGGTAAAGGCAGACATCTTAACACAGTACTCAGTGTATGACTTTAGTCCAGTCACCATCGTACTGGWYACATCACCTCCGGTAACCACARACACTTTCCATTTGTTTCTAGGATACAGCARTTCTTTGTAGTATATTTTATARCCTCTGATGATACCGTTCCGTTGATCTTCTGGTATAGATGACCACGTGACCTTCATGGTATCATATCTGACTGGAGAGATGTCAGTGACGACTGGTG